GAGGTACTTAGAGCGAGTTATAGAGGAAAACGGGGACTGTAACGGGCTAAACGCCCTTTGCCTCTCGTCCTCGTCTACAGTCTTATCTTCTGTCTGTCCTGCCTGCTCTGCCCGATATAATGAGAGCGAAGGGTGTGTACATGTTCTTAATGCCGAGGTCTGCTGCAACGTGCTTGTCAATGATCTCCTACCTCTCTTTCTTATCCTTTGTTTTTTGACCATTCTTGAATGCTTTGAAGAGCTCAGAGCCCTAGCGTCCAATCACGATAAAGTTTCTCTTTACAGGGCTTCCTTATGTATACTAGATTCGTGTGGCAGTTAGTTTTGAAAGGGGCAATAGTCGAAAAAAAAATATGGGATTGAGCCGACCAAGCCTACCATCTATGGGCCCGCAATGACTGCAAGGACGTTGAAGTGGGTGTTAAGACGAGACCCAGTCCGCATGTCTGTAAGTACACAAGTCCGCAACTTTGCAAGTCCGCAACTCTGCAAGTCTTCATGTAAGCCTCTCTCGTGCTCAGAGACGTACGCACCAACTACGAGCGACTCTAAGATACTAATAACGCTATTGTGCGCGGAGAGCAGTCATCGCAGTATCTTATCCAATACCACCTTCTAGACTTAAGTGGCGGTCTCTTTTCTCCACACATAACGATACATCGACGCACTCTTCTGCAATACTATGTAAGTAATCGCCACAATATTTCAATCAGGCATTTCATGCTTCTATATAGAGGCCGGGCTTCATTATGGCGTCTAAAGACAATAAGACTAAGTATATATACGGATCAGTAATTGTTTGACTTCCGGTCCGAATACTCTCAGCTCAGTAACGTCCACAGCCATTGTAGCCATGCTTCCTAAAACGAGCTCCAACAGGCACAGATTCAGCTGCCCTGTATTTGTCGCAGAAGCCCGGCGTAGTTTGCCGCGTACGTGCAACGATGCTCAATGCACAACCATGGCTGACTTGCGACGCCATTTGAAAAACCGACAGGGACGTGGTTATAGGCGCCAATTATCATTTTTGGAACTCTGTCGTACCTGCAACGAAGATTTTATTCACAAAGAAGTTTTTGAATCTCAACATGGCTACCGAGGGGAGCTCTGCAACAACCGCCAACCCCAGCGCAGAAATGCCAATGCACAAGTGCAATGGGAACTGCTGCATTGCCAAGTGGAGGCAGAAATGTCTTCAAAACATGACCCTAAATGTGCGTCCTCTCTTCTGTCTATAGCCTACAGAGACGGTATTAACATTACCACCTAAGTGGGGAATGAAAGCGACTCCATTCTGCCGAGATCCAATGCCAGATCCGCATCACCATCAGTA